CGGGCGGGGGGGATGTCTGCGTTAACAGACCTAACAGGCTAATTGCTGAAGGCAGGTGAGGGTGATCAGACATCACCTGGGTGCTGGTGAAGTCTGAGGAACCTGGTTAGATATCAAGGGTGATCAGATGTGGAAGATGGGGGATTCTGGCTAATCTGACTTAGCAGCATTCTTGCTAAAATTGGACAATGCAGAGATGAACATGGAAATCCAAGAGTCAAGGACTAGTTGAAAAAAGTTTGGTGGAGGAGAGAATCTCCTTGGTTGGTTCTTGGGCCAATAGCTCTTTTTCATCCTTTTTAATTATTTATTTTTAACTTTTTTGTTGTTGTTGTTACTATTGTAAGTTATCTCAAATTTCCTTTTAGAATATGTTTTCATACATTTTAAACAAATAATAATAAGTCATATAAAGTTTTAAATAGGGAATAAGTATACTTCAAAGGTTGGTTTAATCTTTTTAGGTTGAAACACTTTAAAGGCATTTTAGGTGTGTCACTTAAAGATAACTTAAAGAAGTTATTTTATAAAATAAGTTTTGTCAAGAGAATTACGTATATATTTTAAATTTTTCTTGTGATTTCACAGATGAACTCACAAGGAAAACTCTTTGTCTCCGTATTGGAAACATTTGCTTGTTGTCAGAATGTCTCTGGCGGCTGATAAGCAGCAGAGGGTACTGTTGCTTGGCAGAAATTGGAACTCCTCAGATGTTGTCTATAAAATCTCTCATTTCCTTATTTACAGTGCTTATACACTTCTGCTTACCTCTTGTTTGTCATGTTCTAGAGGGGCTAGTGGAGTTTCTGCTCCTGAGCAATATTTGTTTCTAAAATCAAGGTTGAGGTGGTTTCCCTTGTACCTTGCTGAAGCACTGGCAGATTGTGCTGGGAGTCTGATGAGCAGTGGGGAGAGTGGTGATTAAAGGTATAGACTTATTGTACTGTAACCCCCTCAGATGGTTATCTGGGCAGTTTATCCCCTCTTAAGTGGTTCAGTGCTCAGACTCTGGAATCACATTTCCTGGTTTTCCTCTTAGTACCTCCATGGCCTTGGACACATTGCTTCACTCCTGTGTGTCTCTGTTTTCTCTTCTGTGACGATGCTATTATGTAGACTACATGAGATGACATGTGTATAACAATTAAAAGAGTACTATGCATGTGGTAAGCAGTCAATAAACGTTAACTAGTGGTGATTTTGGTAAAATAGCTCCTCATTTTTGTTTGCCTTTAAAATGACTGAAGAAAATTCAAATGAGCATTAGAATTTTTAACTATAGCTCTTTATAATTGATTACTTTTTCATCATTTAGCTAAGAATTTTATAAATCGAGAAAACCATCTATATAGAGAAATATATCACAAAAATTCAAGTATTTGATGACATAAAATTCTAGTGAGGTAAATGAGATGTGCTGATACTATTATCTGAACTTTGAATTTTTCTTTTTTGTTCTAGGGGCATAAGGAAATGGTGGCAGGCACTTCCTCCTAACAAAAAGGAACTATTTAAAGAAAGTGTAAGGAAGAACAAATGGAAGTTATTTCTTGGTTTGAGTAGTTTTATATTGCTCTTCATAGTGTTTTATTTTACTCATCTGGAAGTGAGTCCAGTTACAGGAAGGAGCAAGTTACTATTATTGGGAAAAGAACATTTCAGACTTTTATCAGAACTGGAATATGAAGCAGTAAGTAGTAAGATTTGTTTTTAATTATATTGCTTAATATAATACTCAAAGCAGGAAAGTTTCTTAAATATGAAACATGCACTACTTTTTTATTTTAGTCTTTGATAGGAAATTAGCATTTTTTTTCCCAAAAGGCCTCAGACCTTTCATAACTAGTATTCCTACTGCCTACACTGCTTTTCCTCCCATTCACCCAGCTAGCTCATGCTCATCACATGTTACCTTAAATGTCACTTTCTCGGGAAAGCCTGCCTTGATTATCCAGTCTGGGTTAGACAGAGTGGCTACTTAGGCTCTAGGGGGTATCCTTCCTACAGACTGAATGATGAATCAGCTTGTTTGCAATTGTGTCCAGTACTTGGCTATATTGGGGATAGTTCTCTTTCATTTTCTTGTTGCATACTGTGCTTTTCCTTCAGAGCACTTACCATGAGGGTGACATAATTATTTACAGAATTATTTATTTGCTGATCTGTCTCCCTTGTCAGACTAAGCTCCATGGGGGCAGAGACCCTGTGTGTTTTGTGTATCATTTTATCTTAAGTGCAGTGCACAAAGTAGTGCTTAGTATATATTTTTTTAATAAATATATCTGTAGTCTGAATTTTTGTACCTTGAAAGTAAAGTAGAATAAGTTTTTTTTCCAAACATTAGTTTTGGCAATTTATTGTATTTTTTGAACGCAAAATAAAGTTGGAATTCAGAAGCCTTAACTCCTTGGAGAGTATAATAACTCAGGTAGTTAAATGTTTTGTCTACTAGTGAGCTCCTTGAGGACAGACCGTCTTTCCATCTCCACTGCGTTACGCACACACAGTATGTGCTTGATCAATATTTGTTGAAGTCTCATAGCCTCACTCTGCGGCTTCGGCATGGTTAGATCTTGATATCTTTTTATTCGAGTTGAGCTTCTGAGTTTGTCAATGGAAAGTTACTGTTAAAAAGAGAAATCACGGGGGCTGGCCTGGTGGCACAGCGGTTAAGTGCTCCGCTTGCGGCCTGGGGTTCGCAGGTTCAGATCCCGGGCGCGTACCGATGCACCGCTTGTCAAGCCATGCTGTGGCGGCATCCCATATAAAGTAGAGGAAGATGGGCATGGATGTTAGCCCAGGGCCAATCTTCGTCAGCAAAAAGAGGAGGATTGGCATCGGATGTTAGCTCAGGGCTGATCTTCCTCACAAAAAACAAAAAGAATAACGATGTTTTTTCACTAAAAAACATTGTTCTTAAGATAAGACCAATCTTTTCTTTTTTCTTTTTTTTTTTTTTTTTTTTGGTGAGGAAGAGCAGCCCTGAGCTAACATCCATGCTAATCCTCCTCTTTTTGCTGAGGAAGACTGGCTCTGAGCTATTGCCAATCCTCCTCCTTTTTTTTTTTTCCCCAAAGCCCCAGTAGATAGTTGTATGTCATAGTTGCACATCCTTCTTAGTTGCTGTATGTGGGACGCGGCCTCAGCATGGACAGAGAAGCGGTGTGTTGGTGGGTGCTCGGGATCTGAACCCGGGCCGCCAGTAGCAGAGCGCGTGCGCACTTAACCACTAAGCCGTGGGGCCAGCCCAAGACCACTCTTTTCTAATGGGGTTTATACAGAGGTTTGAGATGTTTCTTAGAATATAGTCTAGTCAGAGGTAAGTTTGAGGAACGTGTCCTGGAGAGATTGAGATAGGCCTAGTGTTAAATTGGTGCATTTTCTACCGTTCATATCACTAAGGAGCTTTAACAAATTATATGTACATACATATATTCTTTTTTTCTTATTTTTTAACCTACAAATAAATACCTGCTTGATAATATCAAGTTAACATAATAGGGTTTTTTATTTATTTCTTTACATTGGTGACATGCTTTTTAAAAATGTTAATTGACATAAAGACTATTACAAATTCAAATTCTACAAAATCATCTATTTTTAATGCATCTCAAGGAAGGAGCTTACAAATTTGATCTATATGTGAAAGAAATTATACATTTTATGGAAATTAAAGTAGTATTTGCAGAACATTCTTAATTTTCTCAGTACACTTGAAGGGGTCTCTCATGAATAGCTTCAGAAAAAGTGTCTTCATATGGTGGCTAGTCTTAATCAGCATAATACAGAGAAAATGAAATGCCCAGTGGTTCTTAAATTTCAGTAATGTCCTTTCCATTTACGTGAATAAAACACTCAAAATTAATGAAATGTCTTTTTTTTGTAGAAGTTTAACTTTCTTATTAAGTATAGGATATTTTTCTATTTAGTGGGTTATAAAAGAATTTTCTTTTGTATTTTACCCTCTTATATGAAATCTTTATGTTCTCTAGGTAGTGTTTTGTTTTCTAAAATACTTAGGAAAGGAGAAATAATATTTAAGCATTTTATTTGCTTATAGAAAAGATGAATGAAATTTTTATTTCAACCAATTTATATGAAAAATCTTAGTTATTAGAATTTATTCCATTGTGAGAAACCACATTGCCTTTGTATGAATAATTCAAATCTGAGAAATCTGAGTGTTTAATATATACAGATTTTTACATAATTAAAATTTAAAATGTTCAACAACAAGTAGCCATATAACTCTCCACAAAGCAGTATAAACATTTTGTGGAGCTAAAACTCTTTTAAAATAAAGACTGCTTTTCTTTTTAATACTTCAGTGGATGGAAGAATTTAAAAATGATATGCTACCTGAGAAAGATCCTCGATACCTGACTGTTAAAGAAGTGGTTTATCATTTAATTGAATGCAATAAAGATATTCCAGGGATCTCTGAGATCAATTGGATTATTCATGTGGTTGATTCCCCAGATATAAATGCCTTTGTGCTTCCAGTAAGTAAACATTCTCAAACTTAATGTTTAATTGTTAAATGGAACATCTTTGTTTTTTATAGTGTTCTAATTGCTGACATTATTTTCTTCATGGTGCAGAATGGACAAGTGTTTATCTTCACTGGGCTTTTAAATAGTGTGACTGACATTCATCAACTTTCCTTCCTTCTGGGCCATGAAATAGCACATGCGGTACTTGGGCATGCTGTAAGTACCTAAAATGAAGCTTCAGTTATTGAAATACTGCTTTGAAGCTAGCAAGTTAAATCTTTTAAAGAACTGAATCTTTTCAGTTTTTTTTTTAAATGATGGAATTTTAGTTTTTAGTAGTTGTCTTATTCTGTTACCTGAAAAAATATGTTGAGAATTTTTATGGTCTTTAGTATTTGGTACTGAATAATTAGTATTCTCTTAAATACTATTTTTATGAGCTGTCTCTTTTGCTAAAAAGTCATTATTCTCAACCTCTAATTATTTAAAATTAGATTTTAAACTTTCCATAATTATTAACATACTTGTAATCTAGTCAGAAAATTAACTGTAGGAAAATGATATTACTATTTAAGTGGGTAAATCAGTTTTCCTGCTTTTTTATTTGTTTTTGGGAGATAGCTTGGAACATCTTTGAAAATATCTAGAATGATATACCATACATAATTAACACAGAGTAATAATAATGATACCTTACCATTTTACAGTTTACTGAGATTTTTAATATGTGCCTTCTTATTCATAATTTTAATACCATCCTTATGAGGTGTGTATTTAATATCCCTGTATTGTATATAAGGAAACTGGTGTTTAAGAGACTCCAGGTAACATGACTAACGTGACAAAGTGGCAGAATATGGACTTTACCCCAGGTCTTCTCTTTGCAAGGCCGGTGCCGTTTCCTTTACCTCAGTTACCTGGTTGTTGGCAACACTTTTCTTATAGATCATAGAATTCAGACGGATTTATGCTCCTGTGAATACACATCTGTTTGACTTAGTATGAGTCCAGAAAAGTAATATATTTACTCATATTTTTATTTTTATTCATTAAAAAAATACGCATACCTCTTTTGTCCCCATAGTTAGAGGTATATTTTGTTTAATTGAAAACCTGAAGGTAAATAGTGAAAGGATTGTGAAATGCCATATTGAAATGCAAGTAATATTAACTTTAAATGGAAATGATAATGTTATTAATCTCTCTAAAAGTCATCTCAAATTCTATCTATTCCTTAGAGTATTAATAAGATAAGGTGGGTCAAAGTCATGCTATTCCAAAGCAAAAATAGTAATTATCTTATTTCTTCTGAGTTACAGGAAAATTTAAAAAATATTTTCCTTAAATGAATATATACAAGCGTAAATCTAAGCAGTTGAACTAGATTATATCTTTCAATAAATGAATTCATAACTGCAAAATCAGTCAATATTGGCCATTTTTAGTATTTAAAAGGTGTTCAGGGGGCCGGCCCGGTGGTGCAGCGGTTAAGTGCGCGCGCTCTGCTTCAGTGGCCTGGGGTTCGCAGATTCAGGTCCTGGGCATGCACCGATGCACCGCTTGTCAAGCCATGCTATGGCAGTGTCCCATGTAAAGTATAGGAATATGGGCACAGATGTTAGCCCAGGGCCAATCTTCCTCAGCAAAAAAGAGGAGGATTGGCATTGGATGTTAGCTCAGGGCTGATCTTCCTTACGAAAAAAAAAGGTGTTCATATTTAGTACATTTATTTTTCTGGCATCTAGTTCAATGCGTCATTCAGCATATTGTTGTCATCTCTATCAGGGCAAGAGCCAATAATTAGATAAGGCATAAAAAGCAAATAGCAGCCTTAAAAATAGAAAATATTCATATTTCTTTGTCAGAGGTCTTAGATATTATCAACACTATGTTTTCTCTTTTAGGAGCTCCATTTTGATTTTATCTAGACTTTTATGTTGTTTTCTTCCGGAAGTACACAGATTTGTTTTATTTTTAGTTTTCTAAGACTATGTAATAGCAATTATATTCTTTAATAATTAAGAATAATAAATTATTCTTATAATAATTTAATTAATAGTAATTAAATAAATAATAAGTAATGATTCTTGTATTATCAGTATTAACGTTAACATTTATTAATCAGCTTTAATGGGAAACACTAGACAATTCAGTGCATTATACTCAAAACAACTATTTTAGCTAAAACCTTTTTTTGTTACTGCTATAAGTAAATACAAAAATTCATTGAACCCAATTTCCTGGTGAGAAATACCAGACTTATAAAATTGCAAACTTGCATAAATGAATCATGCATCATATTTAGGCCATGAAGACCAAAAGACTTTTATTTAAAATAAATTTCCAATCTTTTTCTGAATTGTTCATTGTTTTAACTGCTTCATGTGTTAGGTATGGTTTAGTCTCTGTCCAAAAATATAAGTATAATAAACACATATATTTGATTTTCAAAAAGATTTTGTGACTATATTAGAAACTCGACTTCCTAGGTTTGATTACTTGTCCTTTTACTAGTAGCTGTGTGAATTTAGACAATTCTTTGAACCTCGCTCCATCTTAAGTCTCTTTATCTATACATAGGGATAATTGTACTTATTTCATAAGATGATTATGCTTGTTCATATATGAAACTGTAGGTTAATGAACCTGTCATTGTATCTGAATGATGGTAAGTGGCTCAGTAAATATGAGTCAAATGAATGAATGAGTATGTAATTATGTAAGCAAGGGATGGGAAAAACGGACTGGGAAAGGATAAAGCACATAGAAGAAAAAGAACTTGCAGTCTTGGTCAGTTATACACATGTAATCATTTAATATGATGAACTAGAAAATGTAAGCATATACTGTTTCAATGTATTAAATGTAATTTTCATTATTTTGATTATTCTCAGGCTGAAAAGGCTAGCTTGGTTCATTTATTGGATTTCCTAGGTCTGATTTTTCTCACAATGATTTGGGCCATTTGTCCTCGAGATAGTTTGGCACTTTTGGGCCAGTGGATACAGTCTAAATTGCAGGAGGTAAGTCTGAGACAAGAACTTGAATTTGTAATGGTCTGCAGTGAGGCTATTTTAATATTACTATAAAGCAACAAATATGTTTTCACATATCAAAAAAAAAAAAGAAATATGAGTACTGATTTTTAGTCTTATGTTTTCTCATTTTTAGAGGATATTCTTGATAATAAGCATTCAAATTAGAAAACACTGCATCTCTCAAATGGTGGATCTGGATGAGTTTGAAGGGCTTAGCAGCTTTTGGCTAACATAATTTTTTTTTTGATATAGTTATTGGTCTTTCAGAGAGAAAACCCAGTCACAAACCCTTCCTTTCCTTCTGTTGCTTTACCTTCAAACTTTCCACTTTTTCTTTCCTAGTGACTGTGGTGTGCTAACTGACTGATTCCCCCCTCCCCAAAATATTTGCATTTTGATGGGGATCTCTTAAAACCTATAAACTTTTATGGGCACAGGGTTGGCTGAAGCTGCTTTATCACCATCACCACCTCACTCCCAGTTAAACTAACGTTGCCTGGAAAATATTGAAAGAACCGTCTTATTAGATGTTTGTTAACTTTAGTTTTTAATGCTTTGTTAATGATAATCATCTCATAAAATTTATTAATTCCTTCATTTTGTTCAAAACACTGCCCTACTGCAAGTAGATCTTGCTATCTTGATAATAACTTTGTTAACTATGATTAATTATTTTATTTTACATCTTCCCTCAAATATTTCCTCTTGTCCTGGGAGGTTTGGTTATTTAGGAACAATCTGTTATTTGTTTATTTAATGATTTGTAGAGAACCCATCAGAGTGCCATCTGGGTGCTGTTTAAATCTAATGCGTAGAATTCTTTGAGACAAATTGCTTTTGAAATTGAATAACTAAGTCTTTCATTCAGTGTTACCATATCATTTGACTTCATTTATATTGAAATAAAGGTTCTTAAAGGGAACTTTTAAGAAAGAAAGAATAGTTATTGTTTAGGTTATAGGATCTCATATTTTGAATTTTATTTCTAACACTGATGTTCTGGGAAGTCAAAGGAGTTAATGTGGTTTTTTCCCCATCCATCAGTAAATAGCTTTTTCTGTAATGGAATCAGAAGATTTGGTCATAAGAAAGATAACTTGTAGCTGTTTCTCCCTTGAAATACTTGACGAATCTGGCTACTTCAGTGTAATTCTTTAATTTAATAATTAAACTGAAAATAAAGTAGAGATTTCTTCTGTTTGAACTCTTTTTCCTTAAATCAAGCCCCTCCCCCCCAAATTTTGGTGACAAAGAAATATTTTTCTCTCTAGAAAGCCTTGCCCCTTGTGATTGGAGAGCCGAGGGGATGCTGATAGTGAAGTCATGAAGGAGGGGAATTGCTGACGTTTGCCAGAGGAGAGGAGGAGTAGGGGCCCTCACTTAACTCTTGGGGAGTTCTATTTTTGTGATCTTAAAGATTTGGGTATAATGTAGCAGCCCTCATAGAGTGCTACCAGGTAGGGTTTTGAGAGCTATTAGTAACATTATATTAGCTAACATTTATTGAGTGCTTACTATATGTTAGGCACTAGGATGAACACTATGGATTAATTATGTACAGGGGTTAAGAATACAGGCTCTGATCAGATGGACCTGTGTTTGAATTGAGGTTCTTTTAGACCTAAATTCTGTAGAACTTGGGCAGGTTACTGCACCTCAGTTTCTTCATCTGTAAATTGGGATGATAGTACTGGCTAACTTAAAGCATTGTTGTGGGTTTAATGATACGTTTAAAGCAGGATTTCTTAGTGTAAGCACTACTGACATTTTGGACTGGATAATTTTTTGTTGTGAGGAGTTGTCTTGCTTCTAAATATCTAGATGCCTCTAAACATCTGGCTTTCCCCCAGCCTCCACCCCACCCCCCCCCCCACAATATAAAATGTCTCCATACATTTCCAAATGTCCCTCGGGAACAAAATCACATCCCGTAGAAAACCATTGATTTAAAGCATTTAGCGCAGTACTTAGTACAAAGTAAGGATGCAGTAAATAGGAGCTATTATTATTGTTTGCTCGTTTTATCCTCTCTGCAATTCTAGTTGGTTGGTACTGTTACTCCATTTTACGTATGACGCTACAGGGCTTAGAGGGGTTAAGCAATTAGCCTAGGTTTAACAGTTAGTAAGCGTGAGCATTTGGACTTGAATCTAAGTTCCTCTCCTTTTAAAGCCAATGTTTTTTTGGTTTTTTTTTGTGTATGTGTGAGGAAGATCAGCCCTGAGCTAACATACGTGCCAATCCTCCTCTTTTTGCTGAGGAAGACCGGCCCTGAGCTAACATCTATTGCCAATCCTCCTCTTTTTTTTCCCTTTTTCTCCCCAAAGCCCCAGTAGATGTATGTCATAGTTGCACGTCCTTCTAGTTGCTGTATGTGGGACGCTGCCTCAGCATGGCTGGACTACGGTGCGTTGGTGCGTGCCTGGGATCCGAACCCGGGCCGCCAGTAGTGGAACGTGCGCACTTAACCGCTAAGTCATGGGCCGGCCCCAAAGCCAATGTTTTTAATCAGTTATACTATCAGTAGACTTGATGGGACACCTGCAGACTATTCATGGAGAGTGAAGACACTATACGATATAGTTCAGCAACCTAAAACACACATGATTGAGAAGGAAGAAAGTCATATCTAATGGTCACATACCATGTATCAGATTGATTATATTATTTCCGGCCATCACTGACGTGTAGCTGCCTCTTAAAAATTGCTTCCCCAATTAATAGCTCTTTTCTCAAAAGTCCTGCCTATTGATCCATCTCTTACAAAGTTTAGTACTTACTGAAAATTAGAATTTAACTGGAAAGCATTCACATAAATATAAGTAATTAGGAAAATTAAAGTTACAATATCTATGTGTATTTTTTTATTGAAATTGGAAGAAAATTTCATTTTCCTAACTAATCAATACTTAGAAAAGAAAGAGGAAATGAAGATAATTTATCAAAGAAGAAACATTCTGTTATATGATTAATTTTCTAACTGAAATAAATCCTCTAGTAGTGTTACTGGCTGTTATATAGCTATATTTTTTCAGTTTTATTTTAAAACTGCAAGATCAGACTGTTCCTTGGCCATATTCAAAGCCTGCATCAGTAAGCTTTCTTAGGGAATCCTCTACATGGTAGGTAGAGATTATAATTGGAAAAACAGAATTACTCTATATGATACTATTAACTCTCCAGAAGTTTGTAGGCATGATTGTTTTCTATTCTTTCCATGTTTTAAAAATATTATCTCTGATGGAGGAAATAAAGGCTGCACTTTATGTTTTATACCATGGTGGTGTTTAAATGTTAATCATGGAGAGCATAAAATCTTTATCCTAGATACTCCATGAAATTAATTTTAAAAATCTCATTTTATTACTCCTTTTGTTATGAAATAGTCTTAATAGAGCTTTTCTTTCTTATTTCTTCTTAGTATATATTTGATAGACCATACAGTAGAACATTGGAGGCTGAAGCTGACAAAATTGGACTACAGCTTGCTGCAAAGGTAAAATGTTTAGTAGTTGAGAATACCCAGTGTCCTTCACGTAGTAAAAGATAAATGTGCATTGTCTTAGTGAGGTTTGGCGTGGGCAGAGAATGAGAGTTGGACTGTATACAATTTTTCATTAGTACCTTTTTAAATCTGTGCCCTCTGGAAGCTAATGCTATCTTTATTTTACTCCTCTCCCTTGTTTCTTGATCTAAGGAGGGTTTTTGAGTAAATAAGATGATGTGTAGCTGTTTTTCCCCACTTGGAGAAAGGTTTATCCTATTGTAGCTATGATCGTGGCTGAGCAAACTGAATTTTTACCGTTTAAGTAAATGGTACAAGAGCAGGCTTATTACTCTGTATATTTCAGGTGGTTTTTCTTGCAGCACATGGCCTATTTTTGCTAGCCACTGAGAGCAGCTCTGGGCCTTTACTTTGATTTCAGTGGGCTTTGTTCATGTCTATTCAACAGGGCACTTCATGTCTGGCTGCTATTTTTAATCACCTGTGATAACTGAGTATTATTGTAGGATTTAACACTAGAAGTAAAACCACAGTTTAAAAAATGAGTGGAAACAATACTACTTCATATCTTAAATTCAAATTGTATTTGATTCTTTGTTGAGTTTCCAATAGTTATTAAAAGTCCTAACTATTAAAAATCACTATTATTTGAACTTCTCATTATGAGTTTTATGGATTTAATTTCATAAATCAAGATATTACTCATTCACAAAAGCAAAAGTAGTTCATTGAATGTTACATAAGTAGAATTAAGTGAATTATCAGACTTCATAGATTAGGAGGTTCCCAAATAATGGGCCACAGATTGGCTATATCAAGAATTTCCTAATTTTAATATAGTACAGTCTATGAAATTTTCCTTTTAGGTAGGTGTCTTCTGTGTTCTGGTTAAGAAATCTTTGCCTACCTCAATAAATTTTTCCTCTTTTATTTCCAAGAAGCTTTATTGTTTTGTTATCTTTTTAATATATAATATGAGGAAGAGGTCAAGATAATTTTTTTTTCCTTATGGATATCTAATGGACTCAGTACTGTTTATTGAAGAGTAATCTTTTATCCACTGTACTTCAGTGCCTCTGTTCCATTGGCCTATTATTTATTTTTGAGCCAATACCGCATCGTAACTGTAGCTTTGTAATAAGTCTTAATATCTGATAGCTTCTGTCCTCCAATGTTGTTTTGCAAGATTGACTTGACTATTCTTGGTCCTTTCCTTTTCCATTTAAATTTCAGAATCAGCTTATCAAATTACACACTCGTACAAAAACATGCCTGGGATTTTGATTGGAATTGTGTACATTGAATTTTGGTGGTTTTGCATTATGGCTCAGCATGTGATCAAGCTTGTTAAAACGGTGTGCACTTGAAAGTGGATTCTGCCATTGTGGGTACAGTGTTCCCCATATGTCAATTGTGTTAAGTTTGTTAATTCTGTTGTTTCAGATCCTCTATATCCTTGCTGAATTTTTTTTTTTCTAGTTATCAAGAGGGGTTTGTTAGTCTCTCATTATGGTTGTGGATTTTTCTATTTCTCCTTTTAGTTCTATTAATTTTTGCTTTAATGCTTCTTGCCTAAAGTCCGCTTTTTCCTTTATTGGTATTGTTATGGCAGCTATCTTTTGGCTAGTGCTTCCACGGTATATCTTTTCCATTTTATTTGTGTGTCCTTATGTGTGTGTGTAAGTACATAGTTGTTTATAAGTACATAGTTTTTTTTTCTTGCCGTTTTTGGGATGTATTTAGTCCATTTACATTTTTAACTTGCGTTTCTTGATGACTAATGATGTGGAGCATATTTTCATGTGTGTACTGGCCATTCATGTATCTTCTGTTAATCGTCTTTTCAGATATTTTGCCCATTTTTAAATTGGGTTGTTTGTCTTATTCTTACATTGTAAGACTTCTTTATACATATGCTGGATACAACTCCTTTGTCAAATATGTGTATTGCAAATATTTTCTCTCATTCTTTGGCTTGCTTTATTGTTTTTTAATGGTGTGTTTTGAACAATACAAGTTTAAAATTTTTGTGAAATCTAATTTTTCTGCTTTAGGTTTAACTTACTCTTCTTTTTCTAGTTTTCTAAGATGGGGCCTTAGATCCTTGACTTTGACTTTCTCTTTCTTTGATATAGCATTTAAAGCTGTAAATTTTCTATTGTGCATTATTTTAGCTGTACACAGATTTTGATATGTTGTATTTTCATTACCAGTTGTCAGAATATTTTCTAATTTCCTTTGTGATTTCTTCTTGCATCCATGTGTTGTTCAGAAGTGAGTCATTTAATATCCAGGTATTTGAGGTTTGTCTAAATGTTTTATTGTTTAATTCTAATTAATTCTTTTGTTAAGAGCATACTTTGTAAGATTTTAATCTTTTCAAATCTATTGGGGCTTGTTTTATGGTGCATCATTTGGTCTATCTTGGTCAATGTTCCATGACTTGAAAAAAAAAGTGTATTCTGTGTTTGTTGAGTGTATATTCTATAAATATTCATTAGGTTAAGGTGGTTTATAGTGTCACTCAAATCTTCTATATCCTTCTGATTTTTTGTCTATTTGTTAGTGAGAGGAGTTTTGAAATCTTTAACTATAATTGTGGATTTGTCTGTTTTTCCTTTCAGTTCTGTTAGTTTATGCTCCATGAATTTTGAAGCTCTGTATTAGGTACATACAAATGTGGGATTATTTTATCCTCTTATTGATTTGATTGATGAATGTGAAGTATCCCTCTTTGTCTCTGGTAATACTTCTTGAAGTATTTTTTGTTTGACATTATTTTGTTTGACATTAGTATAGCCATTCCAGCTTTCTCTATATGTTACTGTTCACTGGTATATCTTTTTCTACCCATTTATTTTTGAATTATTTGAGTTTTTGTATTTAAAATGTATCTCTTGTAGATGGTATAAACTAGGTTCTTGCTTTTTTACTGAGTTTGGCAATCTCTGCCTTTAGCTTGAAGTATATAATCCATTTATATTTAACATAATTATCGATATGGTTGTATTTAGGTCTGCCATTTTGCCATTTGTTTTTTATTTGTCTTATCTATTTTTTGTTCTCTGTTCCTCATTTTCTGCCTTCTTTTGAGTTAAATATTTTTCAGTATTCCATTTTATCTCCCCCATTGGCTTTCTAGATATAACTCTTGGCATTATTTTTAATGATTCCTTTTGGGCTTACAATATGCATCTTTAACCTATCCAAATCTAGGTAAGGTTAATATTGAGTAATTTCTGGTAAAATATAGGAACCAATAGTATATTTGACAGTCATCAAGGATTTAAGCCAAGATGGAGCTTACCCTCCATTTTGTTTTCTTGCTTCTGAGGATTTCCTCTTAATGTCCAGCTGTGCTGTAACTGGCTTCTGGTTCCGTTAACTGATACTCCAAGCTCATAAGGCGTCAGCTTTTTGTTGCCCAAACTGCTCGTGGTTGAGGAATACACTGAGTGGAAAAAAAAAAAAAAAGGGCAGCAGACTTACAGATTTGGCCCCATAGTCTATTTTTTAAGACTAGTTTTCTCTCTGGTCTTTGCTTGCTTTTCTATAACCCCCCACCCACCCTCCTTGTATCTCCCCTCCATATGTGTAGTTTATGCCAGATGGGATTTGGGCAGAGTTTACACGGAGTACTTATTCCTTCTGTAGTTCTCTTACTGTCAGAATTCCTCCTTTAGATTTCTCACTGCTTTTGCATCCCTTAACTATGATCTCTAGCACTTCAGCTGGCGAGGCTGTTGTTTTCTGCTACTATTTTCTGCAGCTTTTTCAGTGGAAGCAGGGCAACACCCTCAGGCCAGAAAGCCAGGAACTCTTGTCTTATTTCTTCTATTGAAGTTTTTCAAGGTTAAATTCTCTTCTGGCTTCTGATTTTGTATACTTTCCAATATCTTTAAATAGTTGTTATTTTTAACCAAGTTTTTATAATTGTTATCTCCTGGAGGGTTCACATGACTGCTTCCCTTTTCTTGCCATACTGGAAGTTTCACCTTTCTTAAAAGAATATTTTTGCAGGGCATAAAATTTTAAATTGGCCATTATTTTCTTTCAGTATGTTAATGATGGCATTCCAGTGTTCTCTAACTTGTTTCTCCTAAGATGTCAGCTGTTAGTCTTTCTGCTGTTCCTTTGAAGGTAATGAGTCTTTGTTCCATGACTGCTAAAATTTTCTATTTGTCTTTGGCTTTTGTATAGTTTGACTATGATGTGTCTAGGTGTCCTTTTCTTTGTATTTATTGTGCTTACTGTGGCTTGATATTTTTTATTCATTTGGGAAAATCTCAGTAATTATTTTTGAACATAATAGCATAACACAAATGTTTTTGCAACACATTTTCTCTTCTCCCCTTCTGGCATTGGGATTACATATATGTGTATATGTAAGAGACTTTCATATGTCTCCTGTGCTGTTATTCTTTTTTTTTGTATTTTGTATCCTTGTCTCTCCATTTTTCAGCATGTGTGTTTTTCCATTACTGTCTTGTAGTTCATTAATCTTATTGCAGCTGTGTCCATTCTGCCGTTAAACTCATCTTTGAGTTTTAAATTTCAGTTATTGTATTTTTTCATTCTAGAATTTCCATTTGATTCTCTTTTATAAATTTCAATTCTCTGGTGAAATTCTCCATTTTGTCATAATTTCCTTGAATTTGTTAATCAGAATTTCTTTAAATATTAATGTTTGTTAACTCCGATATTTTTATTATCTTTGGATCTGTTTCTGTCGTCTATTTTTGCCTTTGGTCTTGTATCTTGGTATGCTTACTTATTTTTGATTGAATGCTGAACATTTCACATAAACAGTACTATATAAACAGTACTATTGGCTCTGAATAATGATTTCTTCCATCATAGGGGATTCTACATGTAGTCTGGTAGAGAGCTAGAATAGAGTGGCTCACTTCAGTCAGTCAGCCTCAGCTGAGTCTTCATAAGTTTCAATTTACCTCTAGTTCACCTTCATTCATAAGGGTATTGCTATGTAG